TAGTTGAGGATGAAGGAAACACTAAAATCTCATATGTTAACATGGAAATAAAGATATATTTATTTGCATTGATTTGCAAAATCTTATTTTAAATATGTCTTATTTACATATTTTAATCTGGCTACTTGAGTTATGGGCAAGCAACATCACAATATTCTAATGTGTACAAAAGACAATGAGAATCTCAGTGGTGAATACAACTTCGCAAGCACTGAGGTTCTATAAACACTTGAAAATTTGGTCTCTACAAGGGCCTATGCACACATTGTACAAAGTTTTTCTGTAAATCATCAGTTATCTAGTGATCTCATGGAGATTGTTATCCCTCAAATATTCATTTCTTTAATATTTTACTTTGTACAAGGTCATGCATAACACACACACACACACGCGCACACACACACACACACACACACACACACACATACAATTCACATATAAACACTATTTGGATCCAAATCCTGGTTATTATCCACTTCAATAATTCAGCATTTCATTTACTCAACATTTATTATGCATGTGACTCATGTATAGTACTATGATAGATGTTGAGATAAAAATGTTTCAAGTATAATTTTGCAGTATTAATGTAATTTTGGGGACTAATAACTCTGCACATCTGAAAAGCAATGGAAATCTCTCTGGTTCCCTAAAGCAGTCACTGTAGTGAATGAGTTCATCCAAGAAACAAGAATACTCCTCATTTTTTGTCTTTTCCTTGCCCGGTAGGAACCATTCCTCCACAGCACCAGAGACCTTCAGAACAGCCACCTGCGCTCACCTCACACCAACATCTGCTCCATGACCCTTACTACAGGGACATGTAAGGGACATTGTTGTAAAAGGAACATGGGGAAACCTCTGAAATTCTTCCTTACTGTTAGACAATATAACTGCATTCTCTAGGGAATGAAATTAATTTCTGCCACCATAAAAACACTGTAAATCACAGGAGTCGTGTTCCTTCTCATGTCACTATTTAATTAACCTCTACTGACTGTGCCATAGCCAGATGCAATCAGAGCAGAATCTTAACTGAGCAGAAAATTGCCTGTGATGCTTCATTTCGGGCTATTGATTTGGTGAATAATTTTCCATCGATAGCCATTTTGGGAAAAATCAAACAATCTAACATTTGTTTATAATGTTGCTATAGCACACCTTGCAGAAGTATGTCAGAATTACATCTCTTCTTCTCCCAGTTTCATTTACATTTTTCAAACATTGTGCTCATTAAACATAACATATTAGTGATGTTCTACTAATTAGTACCTATAAGCAGGAAGTCGCAAGTTCCTGAAATACTGTAAAATATCATAACAGTAGAGAAGAGAAAAGCACTATAAGGAGAGAGAAGAAAGAGAGGATTTAGGGACCTCCACCTTCAATGTTGTTTAAGGGGTCCAGTGGTCTGATCTACTTGTGCAAACATCCTTACTAAAGTAAATGGCATGTTGTGCTATCTTCTATTTCCTATTACTAAAAACGTGCCATAATACGTGTTGTGCTTTGGAGCCAGGTATACTACTTTTGAGGATATTGCACTGAACCATTTATGGAGTTTCCCTAAAAGTTGCTGGTTTCAAGACAGCTGTATATCCGGTGTAGACCAGCATTCAAAATGCTCTGACCATTGCTTTGCAAGATGATTCTGCAGTTCAAAGCTAATAGAAGTGTTTGCAGGGGGCAAGGAAGCTATGTATGTCTCTGATTACAACTCATATGAAAAGAGGTGACCGAATGCCTACTGAATTAGGATGAGGCCATCCCCTCTTCAGCAAAGAGGTACACTGTGTCTGAGAAATAAAATGGTAAGAGCAGATGGTTAAAATAAACATAAAGTCCCTCTAAGCACAGGGCCCTCATCAACTACAAAAGTCATACATTTATAAAGTCAGTTACTGTAGGAGGGAATGAGCACCTGATTTTCCAAGAGGTGGACTGTGTGGAATACAAATTTGTGTATATCCTTTGACTTCCTATCTCCTATTCTCTTGGTCAACATCTTGTGTGGTCCAGGTTATCCTTCTATTTTGTGCTGTAGCAGAATTCCATTCTATGAGCCTAAGATCTGACTCTGTAAATGGCCACTAGGGGGCAGTATAATAAAGTTTGTTTTTGTTTTTGTTTTTGTTTTTTTAATTCCCCCTTGGTTGTAAACTCTGACCTAAGGATTAGAAGAGAGAAGAGCTCTTCCATGGATTAATGTTCAATCTGGTTCCCCTTGGACTTTCCTGGAAAAGTTCCTACACATGCTGAGCCCTGGTTTTCTTAGCTTATTGTAGTTCACCAGTAGAACCACGTCACATCACCTTGCTTCACGTCTTTCTTTGCCTCCTTTTCCACATTCCCTCCACACTTCTGCATTGATTTGCCTTCTCAAATAAACACAATCACTCTATCATCCCAGGAATGACTCAGATTTTAAAAGCCCCAAGCTAAAACATGCATTGAATTGCATGATTATTATTTGTTCACTTCTCTGTGAATTTATAATATGGCAATTTTAAAAGTTTATTTAGAAAATATGTTGGGGCTGGGGCTGGGGCTGTAGCTTATGGGTAAAGCGCTTGCCTAGCACGTGTGAAGCACTGGGTTTGATCCTCAGCACCACATAAAAATAAATAAATAAAATAAAGGTATTGTGTTCATCTACAACTAAAAATATTTTTTAAAAAGAAAAGAAAATATGTTGGAAAAATATTACACTAAACTAATATTTTAGGAAAGAAGCTGGTTACTAGCTAAATTTCAAAAAGCCAAATTGACACTTTTGTGTATAAAATAGCCAGCTAGAAAAATAATAATAATCTATCATCTATAATAAAAATACATATGTAAATTTTAAAAGCCTATTATACTTATTATTTTTAATACTGTATTGTGGCGAATGCCTTCTACTTTTGGTGTTCCAACTCTCTCTATTTCACACTCTTGATATAGTTGAATCAAGGCTATATTCTTTTTTTTAATTAGGTTGTAGTAAATATATATATATATATATATATTGCTGATGGACCTTTAATTTTATTTATTTATTATGTATTTATTTATATGTGGTACTGTGGATCCAACTCAGTGCCTCACACATGCTAGGCAAGGGGTCTATTACTGAGCCACATCCCCAGCCTCATTGATATTTTCCCTGGAACTGTGGAACAGCCATCCTTTTGCTCTGAGAAATGCTTCTATTTGGGTAAGCTTGTAACCTCAATGTAGAACCAAAACCAAGAAATCTGTGTAACCTGCAGATTTGAGGGTGGACTACATTTTCATTGGTTTGCTGGTCCTAATATACTTAATAAAATATTATTTTCACCAAATGTTCTTTATGCTAAAATCAAGATGTTAGAAGAAGACACCAAAAAAGACAGATATGACCTCAGCTTATTTAGAGCTTATACTATACTGGGGATACATGATAACTACACAAATAAATAAATCAGATGTGGACTTGATCTATTCTAAGACATTGCTAAAATTTCATAATACCAAGAATTAATGTAGTCATGCAGAATTTAATTAGTTTTCAAGACCACACATTTCCATCTTATGAACTTGTAAATAGTTATAACATCAACACATTTTCTCTCACTTCCACATTTACACCAGATTATAATAAAACAGGTATATGGGAAATTCCCTGCAATTATTATGTGGATTTTATAGGTGCAATTTTAATGGTTACAGAAATATTCACTGAATTATGTAACAAGATTTCTATACTATTTTTGTATGGCATCTTTTCTTAATATCAGAAATATTAGAAAATTCACATCATAATTTAAAGGGTATTTAAGAATGGAAGGTGAATGAGATTTGGGGGAATTCAAAAAGCACAGAGGTGTTTTAGGAAAAATGGAAATATTTAAAATCAGATCATGACCACAGTTCTTCCTTTTTCATCCATCCTTATTATAGACATTAGCCTTTTCTAATCTTTCCATCTATTACTTTTCAGTACTATTTATGGTAGTCACATACTACATTTACACTGTATTTGTTTTTATTGTGTGCATGTTTTATTCCAACAATTCTGCTTATTCTTTATTAAGCATGACATTAAAAATTCATAATGACATAAGATCTATTTCAAACATGCATCTTTGATATAAGCTTTGACAATATTTTTCTTTGAAATACTGGGGTTGAACCCAGGAGGGCACTCTGTCCCTCACCTATATCCCTAAGTCTTTCTTTATTTTTTATTTTGAGACAGGTCTAACTAGGTTGCTAAGGCTGGCTGGCCTGGAACTTAAAATACTCCCCCTTTATCTCCCAAGGTGCTGGGATTTCAGGCAAGCACCACCAACTGCTCTACATTGATTAAAATTGAACGCTCATAGCTGGGGATACAACTCAGCCGTAGAGCACTTGCCTAGTAAGAGTGAGAGCCTGGGTTCAACCCCTAGTATGGGGGCAAGGGAGATTGAATGTCCTTGCAATCCAGAATGTTAGAAATTCAAAAATGAAATTTAAACATACTATGCCACTTAAGTAAGGTATAAAGTACAAGGGAAAATAGTATTCAGTTCCTAAGATAACCAAATGCTTTTACGCTACTGATCATAAATATATCTGGAAAATGTCCTACCTTGCTTTGTATAATTAGGTTGTTTACATTAAGAAACAATGATTGTATGTTATAGTCAATCTTTCTCATTTTCCATACATGCACAGAAACATACTACATGTGTATATCTTTGCTTAATTAGCTGAGGTAACCGACTTTCTAGAAAATTGCTTAGAAATTACTCAAAATCATACACATACTTCTTATCTGCAAAGAAGATAAGAAACATATAAAGTTGCTGATTCCATTTGATTTCTACTAAAAATCACACCTTGTCTCTGTTATTGAATTATGGACTTGAAGATTTTCGATTTTTCTTGGCCACAGGGAAAACAGAAAGGTCTATTTCTGCCTTTGTTTCCCCAAATCAGGACAAATGAATGACCTGAAGGATGGACCAAAGACTGGCAAAAGATGACCAGGTCTTTCAGCATTCTATTAGAAGGCCCACAGACACAATTAAAGATGGAGAAGACATGGCAAATAACAAGAGAATGGAGACCAGAGCTTGTAACACCTTCATATAGACCTTGGTGCTTAGGACCCTTTGTCATGGACCTACATGTTCCTCAGAGGTTCTAATAGAATGCTGAAAGAACTGGCCATCTTCCTGCCAGGCTACTGGCTTGGTCCATCCTTCAGGCCATTACCTAAGGAGTAAACAGCTCAGGGATGTAACAGAGTATGGAGTTTGCTAGAGTGTATTGGAGGGATACAGTGTTGCTCAATTTGCTCCTCTGGGACACGATTCTTTGTATACTTATACCTGCAGGATCTCACTTATGGTTACCATGTAAAATGAAAAACAAAATCATAAAAATTCCCAACCCTGACACTAAAATGACACTCTTCTCTCTCCTCCTTAGGTGAATAAAAATAGGTTGGAGAAAGGCTATCTTGAGCAAATAAAATATGCTGAGGTTAGAAGCAAGCCAGGTGCTAAAATGGTTGGTTGCTGCCCAGGCAATAAGAAAAATAATTCTTAATTATATATATATAACTATATATAACTATATGAACCTGAATAATCATAGTTTCATTTCAGTGTTTTAACTTTCCCAAAACAAACCAACTCTGTGAATGACCAAAGCAGTGAGAATTCCATCAGCTAAAGGGATATTTTGACTCCTGCCCAAGTCACTGCAGCTACCAGTACTATGAAGACATGAACAAATTCTGCTATTACTTAGACATAAATGATGCTCCATAGTAATCTTATCACATCTCTAGGGGAGGGGAATCCATGCTTAATATCCTGGTTGTGATTTATAATCTCTTGACCTAGAGTTCTACCAGCCCCACTTTTCTGGATGTACACTAAAGTTCTTGCTTTCTTTTATATTCTGTGACCAAGGTCAAACAGGAAGCAGAAAATATACAAAAAAAAAATAAGTCTATGATGTTTTTATGTAAACCATTGTTATTCCAAAATAGCTCAAAATATTGCCTAACTGACTTCGTACCATAGGCTGGGTTCTTTCAAAGCAGGTGTCAGTGGAAAGCTGAATTCCCATTTGCTAGCATGCAAACTAAGACATATTCTCTTTCAGGCTTTTTGCCTTGTTTATAATTTGCATTCCTTGGGTTTGGATGTCAGCTAGTAAAATTTTAAAACCTAATACATAAGCTACATCAGAAATATCTAAATTGATAGATGAAACCTAGTCATGTGGAGATGACCTGAATGGACTATTATTACAGAAGATTTATTTCAAGGAAAATATTGGATCCACATAGAAAGGTTTAAAGGAAGTGATTTGTAGGTTTTTCCTCTTTCCTAGGCTTTTCTAGGAACTCCCAGGAAAGCTGAACCTCCTTACAGTTAGCTATTGATAGAAGTATTTATATGTAGCTGCATTGTTTATAAACCATAAACACAGACACACATTCACCACCACCCAATGTACCATTTGGTTTCTGAAAAAAAATCTAAGAAATAAGAAAATATTTTGTCTTGTAATTTTCAAAATGAGAACTCAGAGAATTTGAAATTTAAATCCTCCGGGGGAATAAGGGTTCTGAGAATTGAACGCAGAACCTCCGTGCCAGGCAAGCACTCTTCCACTGAGCCACAACCCCAGCCTTAAATCCCTTCTTTCATACTCAATCTTCTTAGCCCATAACATTTATCAAACGTGTCTCCATGCTTAGGTCTTTTACAAAGGTTTCCCTCCTAACCCTATTTAATATTTAATGGTCAGTGTTCATGAAAAGATTCAGTAATTTTACAGATATTCCTGAAATTTGTTGTGATTTTCACCAGAATCATATTGAACCTGAGGATTTGAGCATACAAGTCGCATTAGAAAATTGATTCTATAACTCAAGGACATGGTGCATATGTACATTTATGTAGAACTTTTTGTGTTCTTCTGTGCAATTTAATAACTGTCTCAACAAAGGATAATGTATGAGACTTATTTCCATGCCCATTCTGGCTTTTGTTGCTAATGTACAAGAAGTCCAGCTTCAAATGTCATATTCTAAGTAGCCCTACTGGTGAATAGTCATACCTTAATATCATATTTGGCAATTCTGTAAGACTTACTGATTGTATTTGATACACTCACTTCCCACTTCTTTGTGAATTCCACTAGATTATCCCTAAACAAAACTTTGTCTGCAAGACAAATAAATCATTTTGTCAATCTCATCCAATTTTTTATAGTTTTTTTTTCTTTCGTCTATGTTAACACTAATAATTCTAATACAAACCTTCTTAATATTCTACATTTCACCATTATTCATAATGTTCCTGTTTGTTTAGTTCACATATTTTGTTGTTTTGTCATCATTCTTCCACATATGTTGGTTCACTAAAAATTTTTTTCAAGTCCTTAAATATATATTTTTTTGCCCTGATTAAATGAGAGTAGTATTAGTACATGTAAACAAATCCTCAATCTCACTTAATAAATATAAGATCAGTAAGAAGAGAAGAGAGGTGGTTAGAGTCTATTTCCCTCATCTTAGGGTCTGTAGCATAAGATTTATTTCTGTACAAAAGTCCAAAAATAATGTTAAATTTTTAAATTATGATTCTATATTTCAGTGGGTCTCAACTCCCCTAAGTGTGTATCTACATCACTTCTATCAACATAAGTTACTCATGGAGGTCTCACAAGTGATAATGCTGATGACTATGATTAAATACATTAGCAATCTACACCTCTTCAGGTTAATCGATCCATGAGCTGAATAAAGAATTATCTAAAAATCCACAGTTTGGGAAAATGTGAGGTTTCTTGTTATTGCACTTCTTTAAATGAAAAAAATAATAATAAATTTATTATATAATGGCCCATAGGGAGGAAAATTGATTTGATGGACTACTTGTGTTATATGCCAAGAACAAAACAAAACAAAAAACAAAAAAAATGCATTAATGAGGAACTGCTCTAAATGCTCAAAAATGAAAACACTAAATGCACATGAATCCAGTTTTAGATTTTTAAGAAATCTAAAACTCTTCTTTGGAAATTTAATTTTCTCTTACCATTTTGATAAATGTACAGAAGTACTGGTGGAAGTGAATACAGATCACTTTCTTTTATTATTATTATTATTAGTTGTTCAAAACATTACAAAGCTCTTCACATATCATATTTTATACATTTGATTCAAGCAGATTATGAACTCCCATTTTTACCCCGTATACATATTGCAGATTCACATGGGTTCCACATCCACTTTTTTACATACTGCCATACTTGTGTCTGTTGTATTCTGTTGCCCTTCCTATCCTCTACT